CAAGGCAATGCTTCAAGCAGCTCTATTGCCGGTGACAGCAAGGCTTCTCGTCGCAGCACTGGAACTCGTGGTACCAAAGCTCGAGAAGAGAAACGCAAGGTTGGAGGTAGTGGTGGAGCTGAAGCTGGTGGAGATGAGTATGCAAAGAAGACCCTCTGAAATGAGGCCAATCTGTTGTGGTGGCCATCCCCTCTGTGTTTCTGGTTGTTCAAGTGGCAAATGGATGGGTCTGTCAATGCTGTTGAAGAGGTTGCAAGTGATGAGGAGACTGTAGTCTTAGATAACAAACAAAACTAGTAGGAGTGAACTTTATTGGCAAAATATTGCTTTTCATGTACGTCCGTACAAGACCTCCGTGGACCTGGTAAAGCATGACCACCGGGATACGGGAGTCAACGTAAGGGAGCTGCTGACGGTGGGCTTTCTCGCGAACGCCATCGGCCCAAGATTTCTAAGGCATGGTTCGTGTAGAGCAAGCGCTCGACGTGTCTATGCTCATTTTCTTCCTCGCTCGATCTCTTTGTGCCTCCGTGCATTGCATGAGCCTTCCTCGTCATGGCTCCTTCAACACTGGAAAGAACTGTAGCCTACTCCAAGTGGTACCGGTACGTGTACGTGGTACGTACATGTAGTACACGTACCGTCTCAACAGAATTCTGGCTCTTTAGCTAAAGAAGGGCTCGTTTGGGCGGGTGGATGCTGACACCTCCACCAAAAGGTTAGGTGGGCTTCCCTTCAGCCGATGTAGAAGCGTACCGTAGAAGCAAGCCATGAATTCAATACCGGTACCGGTACTCCCTCCATCAACTAATGGTTGCACCTCCATGGTACGCTCGGAGCCCGGGGGTACCAGGTACCACTTGTACAGCGTACAGGCAGCTCGTACGGTTCATGTACCTGGTACTAGGTACCGATACCGTACTGCGGTATGGCTGGGAGAGCTGCTCGGAGCATGGCTAGCATGATGCATGTTACTCCGGATCGCCATGGAGTCTTAGTTAACCGCCTCTGCAGAGAGCCGGTTCGGGGTACGACGTACGAGTCCTCGTATTGTACAAGTTGTTTGGAAGCAACTCGTCGTCTATAGATAAGGGTGGTTCGTTGTTCGATGCACAGCTTCAGACCCTCTGCATGGATCTGGCTGGCTGGCTGGTGCTACAAATTGCTTCACCCACACCCCAAAAGTGCGACTGCATGTCAGCCATGGAATGGCTGTAACGACGCCCGCCCAACAACAAACTTCGCGTGTTCATGCACGGCTGCACGGCATGCAAGTGTCTTAAATGTTGCATGGCTTAGACTAGCTTGCTTTTTGCTCCTTCTCCCCCGCAGCCATCCACCATTTCGTTCATCTGCCGTTAGCTTGATTGAGCAGCCAATTGATTCTTGAACCATACTAGTAATGGTACCAGTAATAGGAGGTCAGCCACACGTCTAGAGACAAACGAGCCGCATGCAAGCACGCTGGAAGCAAATGTCATCCTTGCGTTGCTATCATCAGGAACCATCCACATACCGGTACCAGGGAGCCTAGTTGTAGTACTGAATGTGATGGGCTGTGCTTTTGTTCAACTCGTAGTATTGACCTCGAGTGCTACCGTATGGTGCTTTCTTTCTGTTTTGAACCAACTGCAGATTGGTCGCACAAAATCCGATTTCCACAACCCAAACAAGCACAACAGCAAAACAAACCCAACCGATTTCAGTAGCAAACAACACGAACAACATGAAGCTCTCTGCTTGTCTTGCCCTCTTCGCACTGGCTGCATCGGCCAACGCATTTGCTCCCATCACTAACGGAGCTCCGAAAGCTACTTCGACTGCTCTCTTCGGAGGAGTCGGTATTTGGTACTCGTCCTCCACCGGAAACACCGAGACAGTCGCAGACTACATTGCCTCTGCTGCTGGAGGATTGGACTACAACGACATTGGCGATGCAACGACCGAGGAAATCGAAGGAGCGGATGCCTTGATTGTCGGAGCCCCGACATGGCACACGGGAGCCGACGAGCAACGCTCGGGAACTAGCTGAGACGATTGGCTCTACGACACCCTGCCCAGCCTGAACATGGAGGGGAAGAAAGTTGCTGTCTTTGGAGTCGGAGACCAGCAATCCTACACGGACAACTTTTGTGATGCCGCCGGAGAGCTTTACGACTTGCTGTCGGCCAAGGGGTGCAAAATCTACGGCTTGACGTCGACCGAAGGATACGATCACCAGGCCTCAAAGGCAATCGTCGAGGGCGACAAGTTCTGTGGCTTGATGTGTGACGAAGACAACCAGTACGACTTGAGTGAGGGCCGGGCCCAATCCTGGATTGCCCAACTCAAGGACGAAGGGTTCTTCTGAGCTGCAGAAAATGCCGCTCTGGTGTCATGTACATTCTTCTCTGGCTGCTGAGTAGAAACCTCCTCAACAGACTAAACTAGAAAGTACAGTAAATTGAATCTCTAGCTAGCGAAGCACTGCGTACTTGCTTTGGCTGCTCCAACTTGAGTCTTTCCAATTCGGATCGTACCGGTAAGGTGCGGGAGTGAGTTGAGCTCAGACCAGCCACCCATCCATGCCATGCAAGGGGTAAAGGGGCTGTAAAAAATGGGGTCGAAAGAAAGTGTCAGATTCAGTTCCCTTGTGGAGTGCCACAGCCACCGGTAGCTGGCTGGAGTGCCCCCACAAATGAAGAGACTTAATCTGTGGCTAAAGATTGGGTGAGCTTTTAGCCCGCAATTTAGCTCCAGACTATTCTCTACCGAAGGTGGCAAATAGTTGGTCCACCTCGAAGACTCCAGAGTCGGATTCAAAAGTGGAGCTGGTGATCGGTGATCCTGATGTGGCTCTGCAGTCAGACTGGGACGGGGGACTTGGTGGTTCGCAGTAGCTTCTTCACAGCCCCAACTGGGTAGCAGCAAGATGCATCACAGCTCAGCCAGTATAGTAGAATGGAATGGACCCTTCGAAGTGGGCGATCTGGGTCGCAGAGGATAGCCTCAGTTCGCTTCTTCATGCCGTTCACTGCAATGTCATCTCACCACTTTGGGAGCGACCTCTAGCTAGCTAGAGCTAGCAAAATGAGCGGTACCGGTACCGCTGTGTCATACATGTATCTTGATGAGCGAGCCACAGAGCTCTTTTTTTCTTTCGGAGTTCGGAGAAAATCCCCTAATAACGATGATCGAACTGTTTACAACTCGGAATTCCACGAGTACCGTCAGAACAGCTGATGTTCCCTCTTCCGTTTTCGAAGATCGGATGATAACAGTGCTCCAAGCTCCAAGTATTCCGGAGGAAGGAAGAATGAACGAGTGCTATGAAGCTATGAAGGCTACTACGGCACCGGTAGCCAGGAGCGACCGTATGCTATGCTGGAGGTGGAAGGCCCTTGCTCGTCCGAGTGTAGGCGCAGTACCGGTAGGCCAGAGCAAACGCAATAATTTTCGTTGTATTGCGGTACCGTATAAGAGGAATGCAAGACGCATGGAAGCACCCGGATCACAGCCCTCAAGCTCTAGCTAGTTCGAACACGCAAACCACGAGATACTAGCATCAATCTGGCACCAGGTCTGGCGCCACACCAACGGGTCAAATCGCTTTGGGACCTACAGTATCATTCGTACCACTGGCCTTGGCTCCACCAACACGTACTAGTAGCTACCTTTCCCACAGCATCTTCAACAGGATTGAAGATTCGGAGTGCTGTACCGGTTTAGGAGATTTGCGTGAGAAAAAACCTGCATGATAATCCCTCCCTCTCCAATCTCCAACAGCCCATACTAGAAGCTAGTACCACATACCACACGTACTTGAATTGCTTCTAGCTAAAATAAATTAAGTTTTAAATCGCTCAGTACATAATCCGGAGTACCACTGGTAGGTCCATTACTCCACACTCCATACTCAGTTAAGAATTAAGGCCATACTCCAGCACTGGATACTGGAGCAGTAAAGCTTTTTCTCTGCCCCAAAAGCAGACAGAAGCCTTCCAGAACAGCTGATGAGAAGGCTTCCCCTTTGCTGAATGCTGAATACCGTAACTCTGCGGAACCCTCCATGAGTTAGTGGGCGATGTTTGACTGTTTGACTGAAGATTAGTCTACCTAAGGTACGTATTCGAGCAGCTCCGAGTTTCTGGTTTGGGTACATCCAACAAAATTAGTACGAAGTGGCTAGTAGCTTTAGGTCACCCTTCCCTCCTCGCAACACCAGCCATTGATCATTGAGTTACAGTAGTTGGTGGCTGATGATGTGGCAAACTGATATGATTGCAGTGATTAAGATTCCATTCAATCAGCCAGTGGGAAAAGACAACTATGGTTGCACCTGGCAGTGCTGTCCCCATAGTAGTAGAAGCCCTCTCGTGAATCTGCATATTATTACCACTGCTGGCCTTGTCTGACAAAGAGACCTGCTGACCAGTAACTACTGTAAAATCGCAAAATCAACCACTTTACTTGAAGCAAGTAGCACAAGGAAGTCCAATGGAAAATTGTTCCAACCAGCATGATCCGAATGATTGGCTCTGGATCTGGCTGTACGGTACGCTATCCAGTACTGGCTAGCTTCCTTCTACATGTACCGGCTAGAGGACAAACCATAGGTTAAATCAAGTCTGCGCTGGTACCGTACTAAGAAGTTGGTTTCTCCTTTTGCCAGTTGTGTTTGGCCAACTGTTTGCCTCCCCCGATGCTGGTTGGGGAAGCATCTCTGGCTGATGGCACTCTGATGGCTCAATGGCTACGGTATTGCAGTACTAGTAGCTATCGCAGTTGAAAAGAGATCTCTAATGCTAGGGTGCTGTAGTCATGGGTGTTCTGAAAGTCAAGGCGGACCGAAAATGGGACCGACTTTTACCCTCTTTGTTCGATTCCATTCAGCAACGAACAGTTCGGAGCAAGATGCCCGTATGTCAGTGGGGCAATGGTGGAATGGCAAAACTTTGCACGATCGACGTAAAGTGCACAAGCCTCCTGACTGTTTAATCTTTGCTCGTCGGCTAATCGGAAGCTTAGGAAAGTGAGTTTGCATCTATAGCTATCTGTAGTAAGCTAAAAAATTCCCCGGGTACAAAGATATACTTTGGAATACCGAATGTGACTATGAGAATTAACGAAGATTTACCTGGTATTGGGAGCCGAATGGATCATCCAGCGAGAGTTGTCGAAGGTGTCCAAGCTGGCATGTAATGACATGGAAAGGCCTGAAAGAAGTCATTTTCGCTGGTTTGTTTTTCTCCGAAGCATCATTGTCATTCCTTCCTGAAAGCTTTGGTACAGCTGAGTTTCCGAGTTCCGCTTAGCTGTACTGGTGGAAAGTCAATCGCATCCAGCACTGACTTACGGGAGCAGCCAAGAAGCATCCATTCATGAGAGACCCAAGGCAAGAAACAAAAGGATATTGCTTTTCTCACAATCCTCCTCACAATTTCAAAGAACCAAAGTTCAAAGCTACCCTCTTCTACCTACTACTATCTAGCTAGCTAAAGATAAGATAAGACAAGATGCGCTCTACCACCTCCAACGTGTTGCCTGACTCCTTTGTGCCCAATGAACACACGATCATTATTGGGCGAGGTCGAGTAGTGAAGCAGCACAGTGCCAACCGCAAGTTTGAAAAGATGATTGAAGGGATTGCTGCTGAGTACTCTGCAGCTACTTGCAAAGCTGATAAAGGAATGATTTTGTCTCGTCTGATTGATGAGATCCACAATGCCGCGCCTGAAGCCGGATTTGTCAAGAAGGACCAAGCATCTGGGAGATGGTATACCGTGGAAGAGTCACTTGCCCGCACCACTGCTGCTCAAGCCCTGCGAAACTACCTTAGCAACTCTTATAGGTCTTCCAAGCAATTCAAGCAGCAGAGAAGGCTCAAGCAGATTCAGCAGCAGCAAAAGACTAGTACTGCTAGCGGTACCGGTAGCTCTGCTGCTTCAGCTTCAGACAACTCAAGCTTGAACTTGAAACAAGTACCAGTGGCTCGTTGTGTTTCTCCCTCGGCTACTGATTCTGAAGAAGAAGATGCCATGCATACATGTAATCCTGATGCTGCTACTAGTACTGCTACTGCTGCAGTCAGTACAGGTACAGGAATGACTGATGCCAAGACCTTTGCACTCCTGGAAGCTGCCTTCAGCCAAGAGCTCCAAGGGGATCCTTTCCAGCCAAGACCCATTGCTCTTGCAAGTCTCCCACTGCAAACTAACTTGAACCTGAAGCTCGAGTTACCTACTGTTTCACCAGTGCCTCCAAAGATTACAAGCAATGGTAAAAGCTGCATCACAAGCACCAGCTTTCCTATCCTCAAGAAGACCATTCTCTTGCCCACAGTCACACCTCCATCTGTTCTATCGCTGGCACAAAAGATCAAACTTCTCAGATCCACTTCCAGTGCCTCTGCTTCACCAGCGCAAGCCATGGAACTATCAACTGTTCCGACTGTCGCTGTTTGAAACGCTTCTATTCTTTCTGTACATGTACATGCATGAGATAGATCTTTAGAGTTACTAATTACTAGCCATTCATTATCGGCCAACATTACGACATTACCTCCACTATAGCTAGCTAGTAGCTAGCTACCGTAGCTATCAGTTTATACAGCAGCAAGACCTACCGTACCGGTACCATTCAAGAGAGCGAGCTCTCGACACTAAGGAAAACCTCATCGCAGGAACTTTCAACTTTGCTTGCGGCACAGCTTCCTGATGAGGGGCCAGTAGTCTAATTCAGCCAAAAGGAGGAAAAGGAAGATGGTGTCAACCAAAGTTGCATCAGTAGATGCCTTTCAAAGGAATGACTCAAGTCAGACATGATGTCACATGATCGATGCATACGGTACTCTAGCTATTGTCGTCGTGATGTTGCAGCATCCATGATCTATCTCTCTATCTGCGGTGTGAACATACGACATGTATGTATGGATCTTGATCAATTTCATCATGGACTGGTCGCTTTACAGCAATAGTCCCAAAGAGTTGTCCAGGACAGCATCAATCGCCTAGATACGTGTCCAGTAAGGCACTTTTTACTTTGCTTTACATCTCCAGCGAGATGAGTGCGTTGTCCAGGGAAGCCAATGTTCCGATCTTGGCTGGAGCAACACAAGCAAAGGCAGCGCATTGGAAGCTCGACAGAGTCTGGGTGTGCCCTTACTCCTCAGTACAATCTAGCCATAGCAAACACAGTGAAGTCGGCGAGACAAGCAAGAAATTTGCCCGGCAAGCAGGACTCTAAACCTACACTAGAACTAGCTTGCAAGCTACTTTAGTGTATTAAGTTCGCACACAGTTATAATTATAAGAAGAATACGATGTACAAGTTATCTGGCTTTGTCGCAGGAGGCAGATTGTTCGGACAACAACAACAAAATGTAGATGCACTTGGGCTCAATGTTGCATGTACAACTTCATGTACAGTACACGCAGTCAGCGCAGTAAAAGACCGTATCCCTCGCATGAAGAGCCTAGCTTTCGATTAACCTCGGCAGGTTGACTGCCTGAGTCCTCTACCCCTTTAATGGCAAATAATCTGTCTGTGGGATCCCCCTGGTTTTTGTCTGTGGGATCCCCTCATTTTGTGTCTGTGGGATCCCCCTCATTTCCTGTCTGTGGGATCCCCT